GGTTTCCTCATCTATAAAATGAACTGAAGAAGGGAAGGGCAAACCACTCCAGTATCTTTATCAAGAAAACCCCAAGTGGGGTCTTGAAGAGTTGGACACAACTATCTTACAGATGCTTCTCATCTCTTTTCTACATAACAGACCTTCAAATATTTGAAGATTGCTGGCATGCCCATCTACCATTTTCTCTTACAAACCACAAATGTTTGTAATAACCCTTTAATGAATAATTCCTTTCTGTATTCATTACTATCCCTCTCATATTTTTCTGAGCTCTTAGAAACTTAAAAGTCAGCTTTAATCTTGAGACATTTCTACCTAGAGAAAGCCTAGTAGTCAAGAGGCCTGGGTTCAGGTCCCGACTCTGACACTAATTAACTATGTGATTTTGGGTAAGACAATTTATATGTATGAACTTTGGGTTCCTCATCTGTGAAATGGGAGCAGTTGGAGCTGAGGATTGCTAAGAACCCTTCCCCCTCTAACATCCTGTGGTCAGCATCTCTCTCCCTAGGGAGGCAGTATGGTTGAAACTGCATTTGAAGCGAAAAGATGTGGCTTTCAGTGAGGACTCAGCTACTTGTTGCCTGCATGACCACGGGAAGATCCCTCACCTCTCTAGATTCTCAGCTCCCTTGTCCAAGGACCGGATAATCTCCCTTCCGGCTCTAAATGCTAGGTCTTAAGAAAGGCTGTCTTGGCCCTTTGTGTGGAAATGATGCTACTCATTTCTTCTGGAATCTTGACTATCTCCACGAGGGGGCAGCAGAGACTAGCAATGCTATCTAACTGCAAAGGGGTGCAAGGGAAGGCAATTGGAGCTGAGAGAGTAAAGCTGGGTGTCCTTGTGCTGGAACAGAAAATGATTAACTGTTTGTCATGGTGCCATAACTAGTACCAATAATCTCAAAACTGCTCTACAGAAAACATCTAATTTAATTGGGGAAGTCTAGCCTACAGAAGGGAAAATTGCTCAAGTATTTGAAGGGATGACCAGCAGAAGAAAGATTTAGCTTGTTCTCCTAAGGGTATAAGTAAAAGCAATCCGTGGAAGTCAGTTAATCAACATACATTTATTAAGCACCTCATATGTGTCAAGCACTGTGCTAATCGCTGAGGATGCGCAGAAAGGCAAAAAACAGTCGTTGCCCTTAATGAGCTCACACACAGAGACCAATGGAGGAGACAACATGAAAACAGCTACGTACAAACAAGTTATAAACAGAATAAACTGGAATTATCAAGAAAGGGAAGGCACCAGCATTAAGGGGGATCAGGGAAGGCTTCTTGCAGAAGGTGAAATTTTAGCTGGGCCTTGAAGAAAGAGGGAAGCTATGAAGTGCAGAGGAAGAGGGGAGAAAATGACGGACACGGGGGACAGCCACTGAAAGTGACCAGTCAGGAGATGGAGTGCTCTGTGACAAACACACCCAGGAGGCCAGCGCTACTGGATCACAGAGCATGTGGAGGGAAGCGAGGTGTAAGAAGACAGGAAGGGGCCAGCAATGGAGGGCTTTGAAAGCCAAAGAGCCCACGGGACCCCTTGAGCTGCATGTGCCACAGACATCTTCAACTCACCGTGTCCATAGCTGAACTCATTATCTTTCCTGCCTCAAACCCTCCCCTCTTCCTATCTTTCCTGTTACTGTCTCGGGACAGTAGTGACTTTTCCCAGTGACCTAGGCTGATTATCTAACTTTTTGTTCTCTCTTATCCCAGCCTATCCTCATATCCCAAGTCCATATCCAAGTTACCAAGTCCCATCAATTCTATCTTTGCAACATCTCTAGTGTGTATGCCTACTTCTCTCCTCTGACACAAACGCCACCTTGGAGCAGGGCTTCCTTCCCTCAGGAAGGTAGAGTTAACAGGAGTTGGCAAGATTGGATATGGGGGTTAGGGGGAGAGACACAGAGACAGAGAGAGAGAGACAGAGAGAGGGAAGACAGAGAGAGATATGGGGGGAGAGAAAGATGGGAGAGAGACAGAGAGATACACAGAGAGAGGGAAGACAGGGGCAGAAAGAGAGAGAGAGAGAGGAGAGAGAGAAAGAGAGAGAGAGAAAGAGAGAGATGGGAAGAGAGAGAGAGAAAGTGAGAGAGAGAGAGAGAGAGAGAGAGAGAGGGAGGGAGGTTAAGGATGATACCTAGATAATGAGCTTAGGTCACTAGGAAAAGCATAGGGTCATAGACAGTAATAGAGAAGATAGGAAAAGGGGAAAGCTTGAGGGGGAAAAGATAATGAATTCAGTTTTGGACATGGTGATGGAGCACATGCAAGCTGTCCACTAGGCTCTTTGGCTTTTAAAGCCCTCCATACCCTAGAGCCTTCCTATCTTCTTATACCTTCCTCCCCTCCACATGCTCTGCAGTCCAGTGATACTGGCATCCCTGCCATTCTTCATATAGGACACTCCATCTCCAGGTTCCTTGCATTTTTACTGGTTATTCCCTATACCTAGAACACTGTCCCTCCTCATCTCTACCTCCTGACTTCCCTAGCTTCTCTCCAGTCTCATCCAAAGTCACATCTTCTGAAGAAAAGCCTTTCCCAGTCCTCTTTAATCTTGGTGCTTTCTCTTGTTTGCATATAGTTGTTTACATGTTAGACTGACTTCCTTGAGAGCAGATGGTTTTTCTGTCTTTCTTCATATCCCTAGAACTTAATACAATACATAGCGCAACATAGTAGGTGCTGAAAGTAGCAGAGAGATAGATTTCATCTGGATGATCAAAAATATTTCCTAAAAAATTAGAATTGTCCAGAAGTGGAATAAGCTGCCTCAGGAGATGGTGGTGTTCCCAACAGTAGACTCCTTCAAGTTGAAGCTAGAGGTTGTAGAGGGGGTTCGTACTTAATGTCCTTTTCAACTCTAAAATTCTGATCTCTATACTTTGATGTATCAGACAGAGAATGGCAGTGATGATGATGAGGAGGAGGAAGGGAGAAGATGTTAATAATAGCAGCTAACAAAAAAATCGCATTTATTTAGCAATTTAGGTTTGCAGAGAGTTTTACAAATATTATCTCATTTTATCCTCACAACAGTTCTGGGAGGCAGGTGCTAGTATCATTCTCAGATGGGAAACTGAGGTGAACAGAGGTTGAGTGACTTGCCCAGGGTCATACAACTTCTAAATATCTGAGACAGGATTTGAACTCAGGTCTTCCTGATTCCAGGTCTAGCTCTGTATCCAAAGTGCCAGCTAAACGGAGTAGACAGAGCCAAGTTTTGGGGTAGGGGTGGGGGAAAGTGAATCCATCTCAGGAATGGGAGAGAGCCTACACAAGTGAACAGAGATGGAAGAGGGTATCATCAGCAAGCATTTAAATACCCTCTTAAGGTTTACAAATCACTTTAAGGTTTCTAAAGTGCTTGATGTGTATTATCTCACTGGAGCCAGCCCCTGAAATGTGAACAGTGGAAAGTCTACTTTGGTTGGAGGTTAAAGTTCGTGAAAGAGAGGACTAAGAAATAAGGCAGCAAAGGTGGGATGGAGCTGCCATTTACTTCATGAAGCCTTTCCAGATTCCCCCAACTGCTGGCATCCTGTCTCCCAGACTACTTTGTATTTTATGACTTTGTGGTTTTTTTTATTTATTATCTTTATAGATATTCTGCATATGCTTGCACATGTACTTGTCTCCCGCACTAGCATATAAGTTCCTTGTGAGTAGGAATAGTATTATTTGTTGTTTTTGTATCCCTAGTACCTATCATAGTGCTTGGCACACAGTAGGTGCTTAATAAATGCTTGTTGTTGTCCATCCTTCATTTTCAAAGAGGACCGATAACCTCACAGGGTGATGTTTTGACTTGTGTGCGGATTGGATTTAAGTGAGACAGGGTTGCACAAAGTCATTAGCCTCCCTCTCTCTCCCAAAGTCATCAAAGTCCAGTGGCAGGACAAAAATCAAGGTGACTGGTGATGGCCTGGGATGCAGTAGATGACCTTGGCATCTTCAATGACTGACCAAGTTCTAAACTCTCCACAGCACTTATTGCTAATAAATGAATGATAGAATAAACAATCAATAAATGCTTATTGATTGATTGACTGATTGATGTAAGAAATGAACCAAGTCTGATTTGCTTTGGATTTTCCCAAGGGCAGGGATAAGGCACCCTTTCCCCTCTGTTCAAGGATGCCAAAGAAGCACCTCACTGGCTATGGACAGAAGAAGAAAGAAATCCTTAAAAGAAAGAAAGGAAGGAAGGAAGGAAGAAAGGAAGGAAGGAAGAAAGGAAAAGAAAGAAAGGAAGGAAAGAAGAAAAAGAAAGGAAGACAGAAAGGAAGAAAGGAAAACAAAGAAAGGAAGGAAGTAAGAAAAAGAAAGAATGAAAGAAAGAAAGAAAGAAAGAAAGAAAGAAAGAAAGAAAGAAAGAA